GCGACCGGCGCCGAGGCCACCACCGCCTGCAGCTGCACATCGACCGGGCGCCCGTACGGTGCAAATATTGCTCATGTTAAACGCAAATATTATCTCTATAAACATAATATAGTGTATAGTTGTTCTTTTATGCTTACTCGTTCACTCAAACTTTCCACCGCGAAGGCATTTCATGAATCGTTTGCATCACTGCCGGTCTTTTTCAGCGCTAGACACTGCCCGACCGGGTTCGAAGATACCAATTGGCTACATCATAGATAGTATCATGCCACATAATTGATTTTTTCAATATATTAGTTGGTTTCAAGTAAATTGAATTCAAAACGCTTTCGCTGAACTTGATAGAGAGAGCTTTCCCCTTGTCTGGCTGTGTGTAGACCATCAGCACCGTCGGCGTCGCCGGGTGGCCGAGGCTTCCCCGACTTTTATTAGCATATATATAGCATCAGTAGATAAACAAAAAACCAGGTGAAAACCCGCAAGTTGCGGTACCCCTGATTCAACTCCTGACGCGCGCAATGCTCCAGAGCTGGTACTTAGCATCTCTAGTAGTGCGTGGCTTACCCTAAACCCAAGACATTCGGCCCGGGTGCCCCCCGGCGTCGGTTCCACAGTCGCTGACTAGAAGCAATCATAAGGTGCACTGAAAACACTGAATTAAATACCGAGCCAGCAGAAGTGCTACGGTGACCCCCTACGCTTGCGCACGCTAGCGTGCAAGCACGAAGATACGGCAGCCCCTCCATACCTAAATATGTATAAACGAAGAGCTGTTAGAGTCAACTTGTAGCTATCTATGCATGAAAACCCCTCCTAAGATACAAGGCTCCTCTGCCTCTAACTTAACTGAGAAAACGGCGTACTCCTCCCTGCAGTGACAGGCTGCACAGAGAATGCGCCTCAGACTATGCTTCTATTTGTAGAGCTTTCTGCTGCTACACTGATAGGTCGCCGGAGATAGAGTAAGCTGTGAAGACACATCAGACCTCTTTCGTGTGTATCTTCGTCAGAAATCAATTGTTATGAAAATAAATATATCAATTGTTATGAAAATAAATATAAAGTGTTTCGGTTCGTAGACTGCGAGTTCCTGCTCTGTCAGCCGCCATCTGAAATTCATCTTCTCTGTAGCATTGAACGACTCTGTATGCCGTCATGGTTTGAATCCGCAATGAGTGACAACTCATGCAAACAGACAGAACCCGCGACAA